GGCTGGCCGCAATCCAGGATGACCGAGCGGTGTTCCGATCCGAGCCGCTGTCATCCTGTCAGTTTTTGGATGACAGCGGCTCTGTGTAGCGTGGCCGAGCGGGAGATCGTTAAATATCAATGATATTTAACGATCCCTCTGTGCAGAGCAAACACCGGAGTGATCGTACTATGTGTCCCCAGTTATGAATGAACAGGCTGCGATCTACATCACAGCCTGTTCATTCAAGAATTTATGAATGGGGACTAGCACTCACTACAGAGGCTCCTCCCCATTCACAAACTAATGATAGCAAAATATTTTACTATCATTAGTTTGTGAATGAATGAGAAGCCTCTGTACTGAGGCTTCTCATTCATTGAGTGCTGAGGCTGCAGAAAAAGAAATTGAGGACTTATTTCAAAAAGGGAAATGTCAGGGGTCTATTTAGACCCCAGATATTTCGCCGCAGCCCCCCCAAAAGTAAAAAAAATAAAAATAAAAAATGTACAAAAAAAGCACAACCCCTCCCTCCCCCCACATAACATACACATATTGTGGTGCACACCATGCACATGTGCTGCAGTGCGTTAGAACGCATCGCAGTGCATGATCTTTATTTTCTTTAAAAAAAAACATTAAAAAAAACATTAAATTAACTGTGGCAGCGCATGGCCAAGCTTTGTGACTCATTGCCATGCGTTGTGATCTGTGTTGCAATTAAATATACGCCTGTATCATTTTATCAACACAAACACCAAAACAATTTTTTTTACATAAGTCGATTTACAGTTTTGCATACCTTCACATTTTTTTACCTTTTCGCAAAAAGGCGCAATTACAAATTTGCTAATATTTGTTATTTATTAACTCAATACAGTTTTCTTTTAGATTTAGTCAAAAAATATATTTTTTTGTGCACGGATACTGATTTTGGTGTGTTTTAACAATTGGTGTATTTTTATCGGTTTAATATTAAATTTGAGAAACATTTGCGCAATTATCGCAGGGCCTACAAATTTAGTATCACCATCTTTTTATTCTACCGGGCCTGCGCTTTCAGAAAATATATGGTTTGGGGGCGTCTTTTACAAACGCTAGCAACGCAGCAGTGGAAAATCAAATCAATAGGAAAAAATTGCAGAAAATTCAAAAATGGCGCGGCCAGCTGATTTGAAAAATGTTGGAGGGCTTGGCAGCGAAAGGGTTAACAGCCTACACAGTCACGCCTCTGGCTATTTTTCCTCCCCAGAACTTACACAGGCTCCTGTATTGAGAACTTTGTGCGGTACCTCCATAGAAACCTTTAGTCCCCCCACACCCCTTACTTCCTGCAAACACCAAATAGGAGTGCTACTTCTCATCAGAGCTCCATGCCCTGGGTGCAACATTAGGAGTCTGGGGTCATGCGTGTAGGCTGGGGAGAAAGTAACAGGAGGTGTAACAATGGCCAGCCATGGAGAGATCAGCCGTGTGTCTATGTGGGAAATTTTGTGTATCAGGTACTACGGAGGGCCCAGTGCTGGGGAACATTATAAACTTGAATGTCTCTACCCAGCACTACATACATTCCCGCTGCTGGAATCAAAGAAAATATCTGGGACCTGCAGCTATTGAGGACCATGTGCCTCACTGATTTTTCTCCTATGTGACTGGTCATTGGTAGATCACAACATGGGGGAGGGGG